TGAGGTATCAGTACCTGTTGAATGGGTACCGATACCCCTTGCCCAGAAATCATATTTTCATTCCGAAAATTACTTCATTTCAACTCAATTGCTTCATATATCATCCCATTTCTTATTTTTAACTTACATATACATGCTTAAACTCTTTACTACTCATTCAATACATCTTTAACTTTAAAATACAATCCTCTACATAGAATTCAAGAATCATACTCAAATTTCAACATGTTCTAAATCTTATTCTATCACTTCATATCCCTTAATTCAACCATTGACAAGTCAAATTTAACTTCAAATTCTTTTTATCAATTCTTTTCCAAAATTTCATTTAACAACTCCAAATCTCTAATCTCTAATCTCTCTTAACTCCTTCATTCTTTGATTGTACCGTAACTTAAGCTTTCCTTAAGCTTATGTATCAACTAAGGATCATAACCCAACTTTAAATTTAGCAAATAATTAACCAACAAGAAACTCACCTTTTATTTTGGCTTCACACAAAAAGGAAGAAGAAGAAAACTCTGGATTCCTTCTCTTTTCTCTTCTACTCATCCCACGTGGGGATAATATAATCCCTCTAAAAAATATTGCTATTAAATGACCATTTTGCCCTTCCACTCTTTTCATATTTACCAGTCAATCATCTTGAATAAAATTCTTAATTAAGTCCTTGAACTTTTATCTTGTTTCAAAATCGAGCCCAAATTTTGTAATTTAGTCACTGACCCTGATTTGGAATGTTACATATATTTTTTTGAAAAATAAGTATACCAAAATGTTAACCTAATTTTATAATAGTATTAAGATTTGGACTAATCCATAGCATTAACAATAGTCAGATCACATTATATCAATAATAAATATAATAATTTATTTAGAAATAATATTGAAATGAATTTATATTCCAATCATAATATTTTTTTAATAAAACCTGCTAGTTTTATTAAAAAATAAAAATATTCAAAATTATAATAAGAGTTTATAAGTATCATCGTAAACTGAATGCATAATTTGGACATTTTCCTTTAATATTGAAACTAGTAACTTTATATCATACAATGACCATACATGAAAAAGGTTAAAACTCAAGCAAAAGACTCGAACGAAAAAATAGATACAAACAAATATGATTGCATCAATAAACAAACCATAAAAAGAAATTAAGCTATTAAGACTACATAGAACTGCAAAATAGATTCAAACATTGTGAGAAACTATCAACGAATAGAAAATCATGTTTCAAAATTCAATTAGAGGGTCCATAGGAGGGAAGATCAAAAGGATTACAAAAAAAACCATCTAGATTAGTCGTGATGTTGTCAAATTCAACCCTAAGAAAACATAAAATAAAAGGATCTTATTAAAAAATAAAAAAAACACACCAAAAATGACAAAAAAGTGCCATAAAGACAAAAACACACCAAAGGTAGAATTATTCTTATTAAAAACTAAAAAAAACAGAACTAACAATTGGCAACCAACATCAAAACTGGTGACACGGCCGACTAAACAAAGTCAAAGAAAAAAATGATCTGATTTTATAGAAAATTTCAAAGACCTTAAAGAGAAAAAAAAAAGAAACTAAACTTAAATTCGCCAAATTAGAAAAAAAATACTTATTTGCTTAAAGAGTATTTCAATTCTAATCATAATACTCATAACTTCTTTTATTTTTTAATCAATGATTTTTTTCAAAATAAAAGTTAAGTTTAATTGTACAAATGAAGTTGTCTCAGTGGTTAAATGGATGATTATTATTTCTAGAGGTCTTAAGTTCGATCATCAATGTCTACAAACAAAGTTGTTTGAACGCGTTCATTATCAAATGATTTTGAATCTTTAAAACATATACTACATTGTAATCACCTCAGTTTAATAAGTTAAGTTTAGTTATATTAACATTATTATCAATAACTCTATGGTGATTAATGTTTGTGGTTAGGAAGATGATGGTTGGAGTACATTTTTATGAAACAATAATCACAACACAGATTGTTTTATTTTTGAATTGAACCAAAACCCAGGATTTATTTGAAAAAAAATCATTTTTGTCATGAAATTGTATTGCTCTTTAATCATGAGTTTGGTTTTCAAGATGATTTCGGTACCTTTTATGTTTTCACTAATCTATACCTTTATCCCCATTTTGCTGAATATTTTGTCCAGCTTTCTGCAAACAGTAACCCAAATTTACCGGCCAATTCAAAGGACATTTTTAGAAAGATGAACAATAGCTTAAGATGTGGACGAGATCTTAATTTAATGATTATTTTTTAAAGATTTGGTTTACAATTCTGATTTTATATTATAATTTTAACAGGTAAAAAATTAAGAACAAAATAACTTACATATAGTGTTGATAATAATATGAGTATGATTATATTTTTTAGAAAAAAATAGAGCATTTTTTCTTAAAATATAATTTTATGTCTCAAACTCAAATTTAGTTGTCAATAATATAATTACATTAATTCAAAATGACATGTGTTTGGACGAAATGGGTGAGGAGACTGTTTGTTCTGTGACTTGTGTCCGTGAAGAGAGCAATGCATGACAGGAGCATATGATTTTGCAGTAATAGGAAAAATATATATATTGCCAAATTAAGAAATTAAAATTATATATATTTTTTAAAAATAAATAATTAAGTGAATGAAAAAGGAAAAAGAAAACAGCAACCATGAAGCGCGTGCATGTAAGATCCCATCACGAAGAACAAGAATCAACAGCACGAACTAAATAGTTTCCATGATAAAAAAAAATATTATTATTCTTTAAATATCTGAGTTCGAATACTATATATATCAAACATGTGAATTATTAATATCAAAAGAATAATAAATTAGGGTTGGTTTAATTTCTATTTTCTTTATTCAAATATAAACTCAAGGTATCTTTATCCAACTATAAGTGTTTAAATTAAGGTTTGTTTTTTTTTCAATGTATCTATAGTTATAATACGATGTTCAATGTAGTTGTTACTTATTACAAGGAAAACACATGATAATGATATATTTATGTATTTAAGACGAGTTTTAATTATATAAAATTGAGTGGGATTTTGGAGTCTTTTGAGAGTTTTGTTCTTACATTAATCGCTGTATTTATACTGAGTTAATTTATGAGTATGACTATGGATTTCACTTCACTCCTCCTTGTTTCTAACATCTCAATAGAAACAAGTACAATCTCAACTTATGAACAAAATCATTGGTAGCTGTCTCATGTCTCACCTAACTGTCACCAATTTATTAAGAGAGCTTTTTCTTTCACATATATTATCATTACATAAATAGGTACATACAATATTCCCTATTTCTTGTGAGCCTCACCATGCAATAATGGCAGCAATCATCAATAACATAAGGACCAGTGGTTGAGTCTTCTTGTTACTACTCGAGGATTAAGGCTCAATTTCTGGTCTTGTCGTTCTCTCTCTCTTTATCATAAAATGTACAAGATTACGAACTTAGAATGAATGCACCATTTTATTTTTTAAAAACAAATCCATTTAACTTAGAATGAATGCACGATTGTTTGGAAAATAAATTATTTTGATGTTATTATCAAATAAGAACTGCCCGATATAATTGCCAGTATGACACGAACTTAAACGAGGGGGGGAGAGTTCATTTTTTTTAGAAACATGATGTCGATCGACGACCATTTATGCACTAAAATTTAGGTGGTTGTGTAGTTCAACCTCATTTGGACAATATTACGAGTAGAATGTAACATCGAACACATTGTAAACATGCGTAAATAAATATTTATACATATTGATAATCGTTTTGCAATAAAATTGTTTTGGAAGCTTCTCCATATGTCCAAGATTGAAGTATGAAAGTCCATATCAACTAGGAGGGCTCATAATTCTATTGTTCAATAGTTCCATTACTAAGAGGACGAAATGGGATTTTGGATAAGGTTACTTTAGATGTATGATTAACAAGAGGCATACCTTGATAAGTCACTACATCGAACCTTTAACTCGAGGATAATAAAATGAAATTTTAAGAGACGTAAAAAAACAATTAAATGAAGAAAAAAGGTTTATAAACGTGAAAAATGAACGAGTCTCACAATGATTCTACATGCTTACTCTAGGGATGATAATGACTCGATTATACGAGTACATATTTTTTTTAATAGTCTAGGACGATTATGAGATAATATACGTTCATAATCTTTTTAGCTACTGCAACGCACACACACTCGAAGACGGAACTGCTTGAAACCATAATTAACCTCTAGAGAAAATAACACTCCCTTTAACTATTATGTTTATTAATTTTTTTTACATTTTTATTTAAAAATTTTATTCCAATCATTCACTCTATTAGTATTTTATGTCAAAATATAATTGATATACCAATACAATTATACTAACTTCAAAAGAAAACTACTTAAGAACCCACTAAACATATATGGTAAATAATAAAATTCTGACCGAATATAATTAAACTTAAAATTTTCAAATTATTGAATATTTTTTATTAATTTGTGGTAAGTATAATATAATATATGTTTAAAGATAACTCTTAATCATTTGACATTGAATGTTTATACCCCTATTATTATATATTTGAGCCCGAAACTTAAAGAAATAATAACAATTCATTTATCACTAACGTTATTTGATTCTTGCTCAGATATATGAATATTAAATCTCAATTTTTATCATAATACGGTGACTGCCTACATATTTTCACCATTATATAAATTAGATATGATAATGTAATATTGAATTGCTTTTAGCCTCGTAAGAAGATCATCAAAATACATTTAATTGTTAATACAATACTTAACTTAAAAGCAGATCATATACATCCAATCATCATCAGTAAATGCAAGCTCTATAAAGTGGTATACTCACTATTGAAAATGTACTCATGCGTTGAAATCAACCCATCGTAATAAGCAAAGAAATATGTTAACCAATTCTAGGGTTTTAGTCCACAGATAACAGATTCGATAACTAAGTTACTTTGCTTTCATCACTGTTAATGAAGCTAACATTAACAAAAACAAAAGAAGCTTCAACACCCAGTTCTTTAAACAAGAGAGAGAGAGAGAGTAAAAGAGAAAACCCCAAATCTACAAAGCATTGCTTGTGGATAATGAACTGAAACTCGAAAGACCCGTCCATTGAGTTCCACCCCAGTATTGATCATTCCCTTGAACCCCCAAAAAAGGCCGACTATTATTATTTTCTTCCATTTTCACTGAAACCATTTGGGTTGCCGTTGACGAGCTTGGTATCTTAGGTCGAACCTGATGACCAACACCATATCCCGATGCTTCAACCTCTCCACTTTCAAATTGGTACGAAGGTTCCAAGCCTCCAAAGAAGGGGAATTGTAGCGGCGGCGGCGGTTGTTGTAGCCGCCACTGGTCCAAGCCACTCATGGTCAAAAGTGAAGTACCAGCACCACCACCGTTGCCGCCATCCCCACCGGCTCCACCTAAAGCACTTCCTATTTGAAAACTTAAGGGATCGTTTGTTCCTCCGAGTGGAGCCGAAATCGAACCGTAATTCAACCCCGTATCAGCTGCACTGCCACCAAATTCATTAAGATGAACTGGTCCAAGCCACTCATGGTCAAAAGTGAAGTACCAGCACCACCACCGTTGCCGCCATCCCCACCGGCTCCACCTAAAGCACTTCCTATTTGAAAACTTAAGGGATCGTTTGTTCCTCCGAGTGGAGCCGAAATCGAACCGTAATTCAACCCCGTATCAGCTGCACTGCCACCAAATTCATTAAGATGATGTAAGGGAGTCATGAACCTAAGTGGAGGAGACTGAGGTCCAACTCCGAGGCCTAAAATATCAGGTCTTCCACATCTGTTTGATGAAATCGTAGTATTCGAGGAACCAGAAGCCGTTTGACGGTCGCCGCTCACCGGAGATTTCGGTTGATTCCCTTTGCTTCTTTTGTTCCTACGGTATCCGCCTCCCACCGGAACATTCCTTAGGGCACCCCCTCGGGTCCAGTACCTTCTACAAGCTTTGCAGAAGTGACGAGGCTGTGTAAGGCTGTAGTTGTTGAAGTAGCAGAACTTTGTGTTGGTTGATTCACATCTTGGGCACTTTAGTGCCACCTCCGGCGACGGTATGTTGGCCATACGAGCTCGATCCGCCATAGAACCTGGCCGGATCGAGCCTGCTCCTCCACCTCCTCCATGTGGTTGTGGAAGTGGCGGCGGTTGAGGAGAAGGAGGAAGGTGTTGGGTGCTTGCACTGCCACCAGAACCAGCTTGATGATTTGGATGCTGTGAAAAAAGGGAAATCAAATACTTGGTATATTCAACAAGATATTAACAAAAGTAACAACAGCAAGAATATTTATCTTTTGAAATCTGTTGCTTTTTCATCAAACACTTCAAAAATGAATAAATTCAAAGAACAAAAAAAAAAAGAAACCCTTACTCGTTGCCAGTTGGGTGGATCAAGATAAGCAGGGATTGAAGTAAAAACCATGGTTTCGATCCTTGATTAATTTATTTTCCTTTTGTAAAGGCAACTAATAATGGGGGAGAAATGAATCACATCAAACAAAGAGAGAGTGTTAGAGAAAGAAAGCAAAGGAAAAGAGAAAAGGATGAGATGTGGAATGAAGAGAGAAGCAACAAAAATCAAAAGGAACCTTAACTACTTTATATATTCTAATATATTTGCATAATAGTAATAATAATTTATTTATAATTAAGTTATTATTGTTTATTCTCTCACTCGGTTCTTTTTGTTTATTGATTTTTAGGGTTTTTAGAAGGCGATGTTTCTTAACCTTTAACCTTTTTTTACTCCCACCCAAAGCTGGTCATATAGTGATTCTTATGTACATAGAGGCTCTCCTCTTGCAGTTGCATGCAAAAAAAAAGTTCACCACTTTGAAAGAGAGAACATGGCGAAACCAGCTTATATTATTAGGAAGCTTTAAGCCGTGGTTTCATGTTAGAAGACAAATTTATACAATTTTAGAATGGACGAACTTATAAAATATTTAGGGATAAAAAAATATGAATAAACAATATAAAGAAATAACCTAATATAAAAACCATTGAAATTTTAGAGGACGATTACCCCTATCAACCTCTCATTTTTTTCATCATTAACTTTAACTATGATTTTATGATGAGTTTTTTTAATTATAAATATACTCAAATTTATAAGTATAATCTACACTTATATTCGCACGTCATTTAATAGATCTCTCAAGTATATAGCAAAAATAATAAACACGAATCAAGTTACCTCAATGGTTAAAAGTATGATTGTTATATTTAGATGCCCTGAGCTCGAGCACATCATATAGTGAGAGAGTTTGTGTGTTCATTGTCAAATGGATAAGGAACCTTTCGAACCAATATTATATTGTAATTATCGTTCGATTTAATAAAAGATAATAAAATAACAAATCGTAATATATATATATATAGACAAGTTCATTAAATACTAAATCCAGGATTGATGAATTTAAGTCTGAAAATCCATTTAGAGATTTTGGTGAAATATAATTCGTTGCATATTAATAAAAAAAATTATCAAAACATGTTAGTTGTTCTGCTTTGGCATGAGCTATGATTTCCTTTTTTTATATTTTAAATGTTAAAATTAAATCCTACAATTTGTTCAGATTAAAAATATTATTTTACACAGAAAAGGAACCGAACAGCAGATGTCATGGCTAAGTTGAGTCGAGTGAGAGATAGACAATGCCACATTTTTGCAACTCCTCCCGTAGACCTTTATCCCCCGGTTCGGGTTGTGCCTGTTTCCGTTGCAATTAGTTTGCTTTAATATTTGGCATGGGCTCCACAGGCTTCTTTTGAGGGCGTGCCTTGTTGCGCCACAAATTATTATTGCCATTTTGGTCCCCCAATTACATAAGAAGGTTTAGGAGATTTTATTGTTGTCCCAACTTCTTCTAATTACCAATTTGATTCTTAATTTCCTACTACACCTAACCACATGTTTTCTATGGCATATCTAGAAGGTGACAATTTTAGATTTAGTCCCTCTACTATCAAAAATATAATATTCAATGCCTCTATTTTAACGTAGCATAATTTAGTCTTTATGTTTTCATAATGTGATTAGTAAATTAGTTCAATTTGATAACGTTGCTAGTCGCAACCGTTAATATGATATTGTGGAAATTATTATTATTACATGATACAATCATGACCACATGAAAATTCATTTAACAATGTATGACTAATAATACATTCATAAATATGTCCATAGTAATTCTTGAAATTATTGAATACTTTTGAATTTGTAATGAAGGAACAGCGAGAGATCCATTATACCAATCTATTGCTGCTACAAGATGTGTAACCATGACGGTAACTGCATCGTCTCCTTCAAATTCACCGCCTGCAAAAGAGTCGGGTCTACACAAAAAGGCAATGCTACTGACGCTTATGTCCTTATAAAAGCTAAAGATAAACAGTGGTGGAAGGGAAGACTACTAGATCCAAGGTACTACACGAGTTCTGATTGATGAGTGTGAAGATTGGTATTTGATTGAAAGAAAAAGATGAAAATTTCTCGACTTTTCTCTTAACTCCAACTTGACAAAAATAAAAAATGTGAAAAGGAATTTAGTGTTTAAATTGAAAAAAATTAAAAGGCAATGATAAAAATGGAAGTAAGAAAAATGTTGTGTGATAAAATATATAATTTACCTAAATTAGATGAGGAAGGAAATTTAAAGCTAGCATTAGTAGTCCAATTCAAAACTACCTCATATTCATACCGGGCCATTCTTAATAGTCCAGAATCGAGTTTGCTTACAAGGGCTAAGTTTTCTGCTGGGTCAACCCAATGTTGAAAAACGAATCCATATTTTCACATAAAGTTATGCAAAAATAATCAGGGACATTTTATCACAAAGGAAAAAAAACAGTAACATCTCTTTGAAATCCCTTCATATTTTTCCAAAAACAGTAAAAAGTATATTTTAACTTTTAGGGTAAATTACGTGTTTAATACCTAAACTATCAGTTTTAGTACCTAAACTTTTAATTTTTTAAAAGACACACCTAAAGTTCAGTTTTTGTTTCATTTCAGTAACCATGTTCAAAATGTAACATTAAGTGTTGAAAAAAATGAAAGTTTAGGTACTAAAACATATCAAAACCGGTAGTTTAGGTACTACACATGTTAATTTTTTAACGGTAGGTACTAAAATAAAATAAAAATTAAATGTTAGTTATGATTTAAAAAATTCGAAAGTTTAGTTACTAAAACGAATTAAAACTAATAGTTTATGTTCTAAATTCATAGTTTACCCTAATTTTTAAGAAATTATAATTTTTTTGGTTTCACCCTTGGTACCGACTAAATTATGTGCCAAGTACAAAGGACAGTGGAAACAATCGAATGATGATGAAGAAGGGAGAAGGATAAAATCAGATTAGTTTCTTAAATAAAACATACCGAAACTTTAATGGTCAATAGGCTAGTTTACCCTTTAAAATTTACACCTTCTAACAGTATGTAACCAAAACGCTTAGAAGCAGTAGATGAGCACTTAATCGACGGCTCAAAACTGCACAAATACACATGACACGGATCGATACATAAAACTATTGATAACGCCTTAATCGGGCACCTATTTCACTCACTTTAGTCTCAGAGTTCACCAAAAAAAGTCTTAAACACACGGATCCACGCTTCAGCCGTCGATAAAGTTCTAATCTGACGGTTAACCTTAACTTATCATCCCTTTGCTAACGCCGAGAGGAAAACACACGCCTCGGACATCCCTATTTAAAACCCTTTAAAGTCATTTGCATTATTTAACAACTTTAATTTTCTTTTCGACCTATTTTCTCTCTCTCCGAGTTGCCCTAAGAATCAACAAAAATGTCGGGACGTGGCAAGGGAGGCAAAGGGCTGGGCAAGGGCGGAGCTAAGCGTCACCGAAAGGTTCTCCGGGATAATATCCAAGGCATAACCAAGCCAGCAATTCGAAGATTGGCTCGTAGAGGCGGCGTGAAGAGGATCAGCGGCTTAATCTACGAGGAGACACGAGGCGTCCTCAAGATCTTTCTGGAAAACGTCATACGTGACGCCGTTACCTATACGGAGCACGCCAGGCGTAAGACGGTGACCGCCATGGATGTTGTCTACGCCCTTAAGCGGCAGGGAAGGACTCTTTACGGTTTCGGTGGTTAGGTTGATTTTAGGTTGTAATTGGTTCCTTTGTAAATGTTGTGCAACAGATTGTTGGTTATTAGTGTGATGGTGTACTAGTTTTAGTGCCTTTCATTAGAATGTATTCTGGTTTTCATCTCGAATTAAAATTTCCTCAGACTTTTTTCGTTGAATTCATATTTTAATATTAAGTTTTCGCTTTAAACATTTGATTTTGCAGTTTGTTAGCTTATAATTTCTTACACGAATGGGGGCATGTTTGTATATGAGTTTTTTCTTTTTAATTTAAACTACATTTCATTCTTTAACAAAAGCATCTGCAACTATAAATAGGAACGAGTAAGATTTAATTTCATAAACTTTTCATAAGAAAGAAAATCCAGCAAAGAGGTAAATAGAGTTTCCAAATCCACGACATATCATTCCCAAGCTCCCCACTTTCTCGAAGGAGAGCTAGCTCAATAATTGACGTATTGTAATAAAGTTTATACACATGTTTAATATTTGCTCTTTTAATTTACATTTTATTTGTAACATTAAAAAACTCATAAACCTTCCTTTGTTCTTGAAGTAAATATAATTTTTGAATTCATCAATTATATTATAAGACGTGTATATATATAATATTATTAATATAATGTTTTAACTCTTTAATGTTGTCAATATAATATTTTTGCATAACATACTATTTAGGGTAGATCTCAACGTTGGCGGTTCAGAGTGTGAGTTGGCATGTGAGAAAAGTTCGTAGTCCAATCGTACTGCTCATAATTTAACAAGCTTGAAAAGAGTAAATTAGAAAGAGCCCAACCGGGTTTGAACCGGTGATCTCTTGATCTGTCAAATGCTCACTGAGCTAAAGACCCTTCGATTACCAAGTGGCGATTTTTAGATTATGACCAATAATAATTGAGAACATGATTTAAGCATCATTATTACCACCAATTCGGCATTCAAATAAAGCACAGTAAAAAATTTTGTAATGCTTACCTCATAATTTCATTTTGATATTTTAATTTTTAAATTTTCATAATTTTAAATTATAACCTTAGCTCATACAATATCAACCCGAATTTGAATCCTAGTAATAATAAAATTACACTTTACTCTCTTCAAAATCTATAATTTAATTTTAACTCTTCAAATAGATTTAAACGATTCCTATTAAGGAGGGGAGAGAAATTTTGCTTTTAATAAGTATTAAATCCACAACTTGAGAAAAAAAAAAATCAACTAAGAGCTTTTAACTGCATGTGCTAGGGATCATTGATAACTCTTTAAAAACTTTAAACTTCACCTTTATGTATAATCACATATCACTATAACTTTTAAATTTTTACATAATACACATTAAAGGTCTTTATCGTTTTATTTAGACATAATATTAAAATTATATTAAACATTTATTAAAAAATAATCAAGAATGATCACGTAAGGAGGATGGAGGCCACAGAAATGAGAATGCTACGATGGACATGTGATAGGACTCTGTGGGACATGACACCAAACTCTGCCATTAGGATGTCATTGGGAGTGGTGCATGTATCCAAAAAAATTGAGGGAGGGAAGACTACAGTGGTTTGAACATGTTCTTAGGCGACAACCGTCGGATGCGGTCAGGAGGGTATAGTCGATTACAGTCGACGGTGCCAGAAGGAGAGGACGGCCAAGGTGGAAGTGAGAAGACTGCTTGAGATCTGATTTGAAGGATTTAGCCCTTACTGAGGACATAACCTCTGATAGGAAAGTATGGAGACTTAAGACCAGGGTAGCCAAGTAGTGCGAGTCTCAGCCATAAGGTGTAACATCTTTGTCTTCTTTTTAATGCCTTTGTAGTAATTTCCATGACTTATACTTTATATACGTTTCTGTCAATAGAATTTATGAAGGCTTTAAACGAGGGTAGCGGAGTAGTGTTGCCTTAGTTTAGGTGTTAACCCATTTGATTTTATTCATTCTCGTAGCTTGATATCGTTGATTACTGTGTACCCTTCTCTTCAGGTTTCCTCTTTTTAACTTTAGCTGGGTCTTACGTTTTCTGTATATATACAGAGATTTTTACGCAGGGATTTATTTGCAGGGATTACTTCTCATTACAGACGCGCATATGAAGACTGTTCAACTATGCATTTATTTATTTATTTATTTATTTATTTATTTATTTATTTATTTATTACATGCATTGTATTTTATCTTTATTTTTAACTTTCTGAATGTCGGAAGTCTTTCACGGATGATGCTCTCAACCTGGTGTTGGGGGCACCCTACTCCCCTACCTCCCCCTTACCCCATTGCATATGGGAATAGGGTTTTGTTGTTGTATTTAATAAAAAATAATTTTGATTTCCATTATTTTTTTAGAATATTTTAATTCTTTATATTTTATTTTATATCAAATAACTCTTTCGTGAAAGAAACTCATTTGTTAATAAACAATCAACACTAAAAATTGATTCATCAGATACATATGAATAAAGATATTGACGTGACAATATAAATAGACACAAATAGAATATTATAATAGAACAAATTGATTTGAACGAATCAATATGATACGTGATTACAATTAATCGATTAATAGATAAAATATTAATTATTAAAAAGTGAATAAAATGCAAAGCAATAATATTAATATCAAAATAGAAAAAAATATAATTAAATCATGATGTAATTTACCTTTTATGTCTTTTTATCGTTATCCTCATCCTTGTCCCATGCAAGAGAGGTTTTCTGCCTGCCTTTTATGTTTGTTTTTATGATTTGAGTATTCGTGCCCGTTGATCATAAAATTATCTAAATTTATTTTTGAAATTGTTTAATGATGAATTGATCAGATTGATTCAAAAAAAATATAAATTCATATGCATACAAACTAATAAATATCTAACCGAAATTAGCACAAGTGACAGTAGTATATTTTCTTCATTATACAATAAATGGTATCACAAAATAATTTTTGTGCTACAATTATATAAATATTAAGGTCAAATAATACACAGCTCGGTATAACATGTATTAACATTCAATGAATTTTGTACTAAGCTTAGTAAGGCCAAATATTAAGCTAGTTCAATGTACTTCCAATGAAGATCTAAAACCAAGTACTAAGCTTACTTATATATATATATATATACACACACGCTTGGAAGTATATATGTAAATAACATCAGAATTTTGGTCAACATTAAACAATTCAACGAAAAGAACAAACTCAATACTAAAGATAATGACTAATGCGAAATAACATATAAGCAAATATTCTATCCAAAAAAAAAACATATAAGCAAATATGAATAGGACTAAACGAGGAACACCAAAAGTAACTTACAGTTCAGCATATGGATCCAAAACAATTTTGATTTTTAACGTCACAGGTACAAGCAATCCTTTTTCTAACAGGGAAAATTAGCCCTTTTTGTCCACAGTTTTACAAATTTAAACTTCTATTAAACACGAAACATACCGAAGAAATTACCAACTCCATCAGAAGCAGCCCCAACTTCCACTATGCGATCTGATTCAAGTTATTACCTTTCCGGGTAAGTAATAGTTCTAATATCTGTAAATAGAATTCAAGTTAAACCTGGACATTGGATATACATCCGACAATGTTCATTTAAATATATGGAAACTTCATCAAAACATGATAATAAAATCTATAATAATATAAAACTAAACCTTAAAGGAAGCCTCCACCAGTCCATGAGGAATCAGATTTTCCATTTTGTCCGACAGCTTTTTTATCATACGAACCACCATCATAGAAATGATCATATCCATCTTCCTTGGCATCATCCCAGCCAGCCCAACCATCATTACTGGGAGAGGCAGTCACTTTTGTATTATTATCTTCCTTCCTGTTGTCTTTCATGTCCCAGTCATCCCAAGAACTTGAGTTAAAAGAATTATTATCGCCAGCAGAAGAGGATTGTCCTCCGGAAGTAGAATTCCATCCATTATTCTCGTGTTTAAACTCATTATAATATCCGTTCTTCACACCATTTTGTTGCCAGTTATCGGTTTTCCAGTTCATGCCATCTTTGGTGTACTCCTCAACCTTCTGTGAAGCCATTGCCATGACCCCTTTCATGATGCCCCACGTCTTCTGGCCAATCTCACTCGTCTTTGCAGTGACAACATTGACGGTTTCATTAACCCTGGCATCATAGCCACCTTCCTTCACCTGCCAAAAATGGAAGAGGAAAACAATCATGATCTTGTGCATGCAATTCCAAATCACCCGTATCCTTAAAATGCAAGGGTAGAAAACCCATCAAGAAATAAATAGTGTCTATGTTGTAGCCAAAACTAAAGCAGCATGTAATGTAGACTCTAAAAGGCCACAAAGAAGAACCATTAAGTCAAAAACTAGTTTCCTCTGCAGAATAAGAATTAAAAGGCTGCAAATTACTAAGGTTTAGAACAATAGAAAACAAGGGGATAATTTATTCAAATTTCTTATATATATATATATATATATATCACAGCAGTCTTGTGGTTTAAAATGAATAAAGAATATTAGACTCCAATAAGTTAAAGCAGCATCTAAACCTTAACAATGCATTTGATATTTAAAAAAGCAGTAGAACGCACAGAAAAAGTAAAAAGTTCATAAAAATGGAAAGCTGCTGAAATGGAGTGAACACTAATTTCTCTACAATTTGGACATTAGAAAAGAAATCAAGAGAAAAATGAAGTGACACTATAGGTTGACCAACTTTAACTCATTGATTGATATGCATATTTTAAGGTTGATGAACTTATCCTAGAAGAGAAATATGCTCCCATAATTTCCTCGTCCTGCTCACCTCAAAATCATTGCCTCATATATATTTTAAATAATTTTCAAGTATCATCAAATAATTGTCCGATTTTGACAGTTTATCGTGCAATTATGTACAAATCATAAATGATAAACAATTTATCAACCAATACAAAAAAAATGATTAGGTGAAAGTTTCTTTATACACAGAATTTCTGTAAAGAAGGTTCGCAGACTCGCACCACAGTGCATTTCATACAATGCATTATC